GACGGGCAGGGCGCGCTAGGGGCCAAAGGTCAAGAGGTGCCCAGAGCCTGCTCCCCAACCCAGGTGGGGCCTGCGGGGGGGCCCAGACCCCGTGCCCTTCCACCCTGGCAGGCCTGCCCCTTGGAGGCAGCACCTCCCCCACCACAGCTGGGGGGAGCCACACCTTTGTCTGGGTGGGCCTTCCGGATGCCCTCCGCTGTCTGGAAGGCGTGGAAGGAGTTGGGAAAGTCCACATCCGGGTCTGACTCATCCACCAGCTGGTCCAGCATGTCCACAGCCTCCAAGATGGTCATCTTCTTGCGGGAGAAGCTCCCGTACTGGGTACGCTGGGCAGGAAAGAGAAGTCCACTCAGCCACCGGCCCGGTAGGACCAGGGCCTATCCCATGGGGTATGCGGAGGAGGAACAGCCACACAGCCCCTCTCTGCTGACTGGGCACTCGGTGGGCATCCTGGGCAGAGGGCGAGGGGGCTGGCCCCATCCTCAGAGTCTGCACGGGGGAGCAGGAAACCCCAGCTGTCAGGCGCCATGGCCTACCTTTCTCCTGACGAAGTCCACGGTCTGGTGCGTGTGCATGAGCTTGTAGGTGGTGAACACACGGTCGAGGAGGGGGCCCGACTGCAAGCCAGAGGGTCAGCGGAGGCTGCCCACCAGCTCTTCACACTGAGGGCCACACTGCCTCACTGTCCCAGGCTGGGCCCCACAGCGTGTGAACAGGGCTTCCCAGAGGGTACCCCCCAGTGCTGTGCGAGGGGCAGATGCTGCGCTCTGCAGGAATGACGGGGGTGGGGCTGGGGCTGGGCAGGGACAGGATGGGGTCCTTACGGTGTAGTTTCGGAAGCTGCCCTTGTCTTTGGCCATCTCTGGGTCCACATCAGGTCGGTAGACCAAGGAAGGGTCTGGGCCCTGGTTTAATGGGAGATTTAACCCATTTCACCATCTTGCCAGATCCACAAGGAAGGGAGGACGTCCCTACAGGTTGAGACTGAGGCCTGGTGGAGGACACGTGAGGGCATGGCCTCTCCCGCATCATCAGCACAGCCCCGCACCAGCCTCACTCCCGGTGTCCTTATCTGCAAGTGGATATGGGCACATGCCTGCTTCCCAGGTGCGGGTGCAGGTGCGGGTGCGGGAGCTGCAACCCTTGCCCCAGCTGGACCACACAGGAGGGAGAGAGCCCTCTGACTGGGATGAACAGGGCTAGCAGGAGTCAGCGGGAAGTTCCTCATGGGGAACAACTGGCTGCCAGGTCAGGGACACTCACCACAATCACCTTCATCCTGAGAGAGCGGTGCTCGGTGGCAAAGCACACATGGAGGCAAAAGCGCCACAGGCCCAGGTGTCCCTATATATGCCCATGGGTTGCATAAGTGACCGGACACCACCCGGCCCCTTGCCCTTGGCCCTTGGTAATGAGTGACCATCCACCCTCCTCCTGACCTCGGTGAGTTAATGTGTCAGTGCAGGAGCAGCCCCCCACGGCCCCAGCCCCTATATTGACCTCAGCCTCCCCATCCTGGCAACTGACCTGCTTAGGGAAGCCTGAAGCCCCTCTGCAGCCCAGCCTCCCCCGTTTGCCCCCTAGCTTTAAATAGTTGGCCTCTTCCAACAGGTGGTACAGACCCTGGACCACACCCTTGAGCACATACCACCCCCCAACCCCCAACCCCAACCCTAGATCTCCGGAAGTGAAAACTTGTCCTCCAGTGCATCTACGATTCTGGTGGGGCAGGGACTTTTTAAAGAAAAATATATTCTGACCACTTGTTAAGATGTAATGGAAAACTTTATTCAAGACTGTGCTTATAGGGGAGAGAGATCAGGCTCAACTCCGAATGCAACAGACAGCTGGTGATTTACAGCCAGTGAGCAGCCTGGGGGTCGGGGTGGACACTGCTCAGAGGAGACATCAAGGGCAGGGGATTCTTGCTGGAGGCAGGCAGGTGATCAGATGTCAACCAAGGGAGCTGAGGAATGCGATCAGATATCGAGGGTGGGGGGATTCTTGGTAGACTGACTCAGCAGGATTCCTGCTGATATTGAGCTGGGGAGGTCCGGCAAGGAGAGGCCTAGCCAAGAAGAGGCTCGGGAGCCTATCTGAAGTGTGGTCAAGGAAAGCGTCTGCCAGGTCTTGGGCGCCAGGGGCTCCAGCGAACAACGGTGGCAGAGAATTCAACCAGTCCTTACCATGCCCTCGGTCTAAGCACTGAAGACAAAGCAGAGACCCGGCAGACAAACGTGCCTGCCTGGGGAGCTGATGTTCTTGGAGCATGGTCAGGGTGGAGTTTGGGAAAAGTAGTCCGGGGCAGGGGAGTGGGCAGTGGGGCTGCGTCTCCCAGGGCCTGCAGGTCAGAGCGCTGGGCCTCGCTGACAACCTTCTTCTCAACGGGCTCCTCCTGCAGCTGCACTGAGAATACACACTGGGGAGGCCCCAGAGCCCCCTGTAACGTGGCCAGCTGCGGCCTCCAGCACTGCCCTCCCACAGCACTCAGCACTGCCCGCCTGCGCCACCTGTGCTGTGCTCGCTCCCTTCTGTTGCCCCCACTAGAATGGCAGCCCCAGGAGGGCAGGACCCCATTCTCCAATGTGTCCCCTACACACACATGCTCAGCATGCCTGGACAGAGGGATGGACACTGCCCAAAATGTGGGTAGTGCTTCGGTAAGCAGCTGAAGCGGGGCGGAGCGCAGGTGCTGCTGCTGGACCTCGGATTGGACAGGCAGTGGGCAGCCAAGCAGGCCTGGGGCCGGCTTCACAGCAGACACAATGCTGTGGGTCAGGACAGGCCACCACAAATGCTGTGCTGGAAACCATGAGGGCTACCATCTGTCCACTTCACGGAAAAACTGGAGGTTCGGGCAGCACCTTGGATGAAGCCACAGGGCAGGTGGAACCCTGGGGATCTAGCAGCCCGTCTGGTGGCGGAGGGTCTGTGCTTCAATCCCCTGGGGCCTAGAGGATGCAGGGGCCTCACGTGAGGAGAGGGTGTGGGGGGTGGAAGGTGTTCCTGGCAGAGGGAACATCTTGTGCTGGGAACAGACCACATGCAACCACATGCCAGGAGGGGGTCAGGGCAGGTGATGGGGGTGAGGAGGCTGGACTTTGCTTTGCCTGCGAGGATCTTGGCAGAGCTGAGCTATGGAAGCTGAGCTCCTGATTGCCCTTAGCTTGCTGCTGGACCCTACCTCTCCTTCATGCCCAGGCCCCCTTGCCCTGTTCTCACAGCCACACCAGGGCAGGCTGCCAGCCTCTGCTGACACCCTTCAGTGGCTACAGAACACATGACTCTGAGGCTGGGGCCCCCTGGCCTCTCCAGCCCCCATTCACTGAGGCTACAACCTCTCAGCTGCTTTTGGGCTGGACAACCCCAGCCAAACCTCCTATGCACTGGTGGCCTTGGCACTCCCAGCTCCTTCCCCTGGGGACCCCTGCTGTCTGCAGACCTCACCTAGACTTCACCTCCAGGAAGCCTGCGTGGACTGCCTTGTGGTGCTGCCCACCATGCAGGCCACCCTCTATTACAATTCGTGCACTGAGGCCTCCAGCAGGGAGGGACCAGCCTGAACTGAGAGGGTGACACTGGCAAATATTTGCAAATTAAGTGCTGTGTGAGTGGCGGCTAAGTAACAAAAATAATCCTTTCTGAACCCCGCATTCTGCTGTCAGTACCTACGGTACTCCTATGAAGTTGGGGTGACATACAGATGCAAAGGCACCACCTGGTGTGGACACATACCAGGAACTGTAGTCACGATGGCTGGGGTTCTCGTTCTTATTGTCATTTGAGGCCAGCCTCTCCCTCCCCAGGCTCTTGGCAGGGTGTAGAGGAACAAGTCTGTCCAGCCTCCTGCTGTGCCCAGGCCTGGTCCCACTGAGTCCTGTGCTGGGTGGGGTGGGGGTCAGGGGCGTATATTGCCTGTGGAGCCCCACCTTTGTTTGGCTACCACCAACCCCTAAGAGGTGGGGGTGGGTATTACTTAATGTACCTATCTGGGCTGGGGGATCCTGCCCCCACTCCAGCCCTGCCCTGTCCTGCCCTGGGTATGGGAAGGGTGTCTCTGCTCCAGAATGGCTCAGGGGTGGTCCCTAAGCCCATAAACCCCCCTTCCTGGCTGCCCAGAAGGGATCCAGACCCAGTCTTCATCACCACCTGGGCCTGGGCTCCGGGGCTGGCAGCTGGACCTGTGGAGGTCCTTTCACGACCTGTCTTCCCTCACCCTGACTTTGGGGCAACCACAGCATCAGGGCCCTCCTCCCTGCTTCCCTTCCTGTCTCAAGGGAAAGAAGGGAGAGGCTTCAGACCCTGGGTCAGGCATGCACCTGCAAGGCAAACTGTACACAAGAGCAAGGAACAGCCGGGGCCCAAAGCAGGGCTTTGATCTGATGGGACTGGCAGCGGAGGGGCAACATCCGGCCAACTCAGCCTCTCTCTCCTGCTTGCCTAGAGGTGGCCTCTTTGTTCGGGACCCTGACTTCTGCTCCACGTCCTTGGGCAGACCCTTCCCCTCTTCAGCCTCTGATGCTGCCAGCAACCTCTGCCTGGCACGTGTTTGCTGAGTGTGCACTGGGCATGAGGTCCCTGGGCATGTAGATGCTGCTTGTAGACCAGCCTGGGTCTAAACATGTGGGTGGGTTTACATGTCCAAAGCTGTTCAGGTGTAGCTGCTGCAGGACCTGCTGTCTATAGAAGCTCTGAGATGGGCCGGCCCGGTGGTGCACTTGGTAGAGTGCGGCGCTTGGGAGTGCAGCAGTGCTCCTGCCGAGGGTTCGGATCCCATATAGAGACCGGTCTGCTCACTGGTTGAGCGCGGTGCGGACGCGACACCGAGGGTTGCGATCCCGTTGCCGGTCGCGGTACGGGCGCGACACCAAGGGTTGCGGTCCCGTTACCGGTCACGAGAAAAGACAAAAAAGGAAAAAAAAAAAAAAAGAAGCTCTGAGAGACTGGGCCAGGGGGCAGCACCCCAGCTGGGACTGGCAGGGGTGTGGCCCAACCCAACCTTAGCCATAGCTGTGGGGGCTGCTGGGGTCTATGGGAGCCAAGATGCTCTGGCTGGCTGGTCCCACAAGCTGCCACAGGCGGTGGTTGAGGTTCTGCACCTGGCAGGTGCCCAACACACAGCCCACCCGGGGCCTGAGTGTTGGTGGCCACCATCCTGGAAAGGCCAACCCATGGCGGGGGCCAGGCTGGCACTCCTCTGTAGCTGGGGGACCTGGTGAAGCTTCCAGACCATAGGCGGGGGCACAGGGTGCCGGGGTTGCAGGTCACTGGAAGGGGTCCGGGCTGGGGGCTCCCTGCAGACAGGGATAGAAGGTGTAAAGGCAGCGGCTCAGTCCTTCAAAGACATACAAAGCCGCTGACTTTCCCTTCCACGCATACCTGGAGCACTGCCGGGGAAGCCCACAGTCCCCACCCTGGCAGCTCAGCCATCTCAGTAGCCCAGGTCACATGCCCCACTAACTGGCACCTCCCTGGGCAAAGGGCACCCCGCACCCTGGCCTCTGGGGGTCAGTACTCTCAGGACTCTGGACCCTCCCCTTAGGGTGCTCAGAGGTGGGCAGGTGCGCTGGACAGGGCGGCAGGGACAGGGCCTCCTGCTCCGCTCGGAGTGGCTGAGGTGTGGGGGGTCGGCTCTAGCAGCGGGGCGCGGGAGTGAGACCCGTGCTGCCCAGGCGTCCTGGTCGCGCGCCGCGGAGCTGCAGGTGCAGGAGGCTGATGCAACAGAGGCTGGCCGTGGGGAGCCCTCCGCGGGCCGGGGCGCGGGCAGGCGGGTCTGGAATCTGTCGGCGAGTCCCGGAGCGCAGAGCGGAGCGGAGCGGGCTGGGCGGGGCGGGGGTCCCGTCCGGAGGGAAGCTTTGGCCCGCGGCGGCGGCACCCCCAGAGCTAAAGCCCTTGCAGCGGGAGGCGGAGGCGGAGCCGGACGCACGGACGGGCGGGGAGCCCCCCGGCCCCCCACAAACCCCGGCCGGGGAGGGGCTGCGGCTCCTGCCCCTCTGTCCTGCCAGGCCCCGTGGGTAGCACTATGGGTGCAGGGAGGGGCGGGCGACAGGGACTAGCTCTAGGCGCCGCCTCCAGGGTGCAGGCAGAGGGGGACCCCCATCGCTGCTGGGAAGTGCTCGGCAGCTGGCCAGGGGGCCCCCGGGGCTACCGGCCTCACTTCTGGCGCCTTCTGGTGGGGGACGCAGTCCCGGAGCCGGTGGGGCCCGGCATCCCAGGCTGCGGTGGGTGCTGGGGGTCTGGGTCCACGGCAGGGGTTGCCTGCCTCACAGGAGCCCGACGGGCGCCCACCCTACCAGCCACCTCCAGGGGCCGGGCGGATCCACCCCACCAAGGGTCTGACCTGGAGAAGCGCGTCCCCGAGACGGGCCGGCGTCTCCCGGAGCGTCGTGGGGCCTCAGCGGCGCTCAGTTCTCTTCCGGGGCCAGTTCCCGCCCCGCTCCAAGATCCCTTAGCAGCTGTGCCCCTAAAAGTCTCCACCGTTCCCTCCGTCCTTACCAAAGTATTACCTGGTTTTTGTAAGAAATTTAAATAAGTAAAAAAAAGTGAGAAATCCCCTGCCCTGCACTGCCACCCAAGTGCGGGTGAGAGCCCGTCCCTGACCTTCCCTTGTATACACCGGTGCGCGGTGTGTGTGTGACACATATGTGCGTGTGTCTGTAAAAACACCCGAGCACAGCAACTCCCGTCCTTTCTCGTGGCTGGCCCTACGCCAGTCGGTAGGTGCTCTGTGATTTACTCAATCCTTTATTAATGCACAATTAAGTGATTTCCAGTTTTTTCAAGAACAAAAATCCTGCTGTCCTGAGCTCACAAATGTGTCTCTATAGGACGCCTCCCTAAAAGCAGAAATTCTGGTTGACAGTGAGCACGTGTCTATGTGAACAGATGCTGCCAAGTTGTCCACAAAGCTGACTGACGCCAGTCCACTGTCCACCGATGACGGGCTTGGCGTTATGGGTTCTTTGCTATCGATCTGAGAGGGGACAAATTATCTCATCACCCCCTTAATAGACATTTCTTTATCACGCGAGCATCTCTGCACCGGTTTGTGTCTCCTCTTCTGTCTCACCCTGTCCCCACTCTCACCCCCTCTGTTCGGTTTCTCAGTGACCAGTTCCCTCTGTCCCTCCTGCTGGTTCCTGCTGTGTCCCCCCTGCTGAGCACACCGAGGGAGCTCAACAAACATTTGCTGGATGAATAAATCAATGAGTGTTGAATACAGGCCGTAGCAAAGAGTTTGATCTACACTGTGAGCAAGGTAGGGAAGCACCAGCAGATATTCACTATTTGGTTCTTTAATTTTACCAGTTGGGGTAGCTGTGGTCACATTTATGTTAGAAAAGTGGAGTGGCAGCCAGGAGGCAGGTGCTGAGGAGGCTGGCAGGAAGGGATAACACAGGGACAGGGTGGACAGGTCAGAGAGAAACTGAAGCGGGGCAGGGAGGCGGGTGAGGAGGCTCCCAGCTCTGAGCATGGTCCCTCTCCTTGCTAACACAGGGAGCTGTGGAGAGAGTGGGGAGGGGCTACAAATTGGATATGCTGAGGCCGAGCTGCCTGGAGGTCAGCCTGCAGCCTCACCGGCCTGTAGCTGAGGAGAGGGCAGGTCTAGAGCACAGTTTTGGGGGTTTCAGATATGGCAAGGCTGTGGGAGGTATGGTCAGCACATCCACAGAGAGGGCAGAGAGAGGCTGGCTGGCTGAGGACAGAATCTGATATGCCAGCTCTCAAGGCACAGGTAGGGAAAGGGCAAGCAGAGGACCTGGAGGTGGCACTGATTCTGCAGCTGCCCCTCGTCTTGCCAACACCCCCCACTCTGCCCTCAGTCTGCGTTCCACACTGCTGCCAGCTCCGTCCTTCCAAAACACAAATGTGATGATGTGATTCATCCTGCCAATAAAGAAAAGCTAATGAAAATTCCCTGTCTTCACGAGACTTTCTATCTGGGACAGGTGGAGGTAAGCCTCAGTGTTCCTTCTTCCAGACCCTGGGACAGCAGGACAATTACTGTTTACATGAGTCCGTGGTCCCATCAAGCCCACAGGGGTAGGGGACATGGTGTGTGTGGGGGGGCAGGGTGTTCTCTAGCCCTGGGGCTTCATTCTGGCTGCTTATTCTGCCCCTGCCCATCCCAACTGGATTAGAGGCCCCCTATGTGATCCCACAGCCCCCTGTGGGTCACATCTCATGGCACTCGTTGTTTGTAGCTGTCCATGTGCCCTTCAAGGGGAGATCTGGGTTGGCTGGTTAGCTCAGTTTGTTAGAGCACAGGGTTGACAGTGTTGTTAACAACAAGGTCAGGGGTTCAGATCCTCATAGCAGCCAGCCACCAAAAAAAAGGTGTGTGGGGGGGACCCAACAGCCTCTTTTGTTTAGCCTTAGTTGGAGGAGCTGCTTCTGGGGAGTTATGGGGCCAGCCACCCAGAGCACCTCACTCTGGAAACAGGTGAAAAGTACACCAGAGGTTCCCAGGTGAGCCAGGACTGGGCCACAGGAGGGCTGGCTGCCACAGGCAATGTTGTGGATTGCATTAGGGAAGTCTGTGCAGGACATAAAAGCTAGTGTGGCAACTGGTTGGGCAGACAGTGTCAAGGGAGGTTTTGTTTGAGTGTTTTCACATGGGAGAGTTAAGTTTGAACCTGATGGCGAGGATCCTGTAGAAGGAAAGATGAGCATGGTGGGGGACACTGATAGTGAACAGGAGAGGTGGGGAGGAGGGTTGCAAGGACAGGGCCTCTGTGGTAGCTGTGGAAGGAGGGGTGGGGCATGAGGGTTTGGTTTCCCATCAGAAGGCCTCCCATCTGATGGCTTCTGTTTTCTTTGTGAAGGAGAAGCAGCCAGTCAGCCGGTCATCCTTGAGACTTGGGAGTGGGGTCAGAGGTTTGAGAAGAGGACCAGAAGACAGCTGACCAGACATCAGCAGGCTGGGCAGTTCGGGAGGGGACATCCACTCATGTGAGGCTGGGGCCATGGTGTCACCAGGGGCTACTCTCCTCTGTATGATGGGTGCAGGCCTGGAGGAGATGGATGGTCAGAATTGTACATGGCTGGGTTTTGCTAGATGAGGGTAGTATAAGGGAGGCAGGAGGCTTAGGACATTGGCAAGATGACAGACCATGGAACTATGTTGGGTGGGGGTAGAAGGACGGACAAAAGAAGCCAAGAGACCTATGGGACTGAGGAGTGGGCTCCCTGGAGGGAGAACCTGAACCCGAACCTGCTGGGAGGAGAGGAGGATCTGGGGCCACTAGCCGCCCTTGAGAAGGGGAGGACACTGAGGCCAGGAGCAGGTGCCACAGGGTGACACAGGCAGTGCAGTGGGCAAGGTGCTTGATTCAATGGCAAGAAACCTGGTGGGGGATGATGGTCTGAAAGGGACTCCTGAAAGGGCTGGGGGCTCCTTAGGCTGAGGACACCTGAGATGGAAATTCCCAAGGGCCTGGTGGAAGGGTGGAAGGGCATGAGGGTTGGGTAGAGAGGGGTGCAGGGTCCCCACAAGTCTCTGGAGGAGAGCCAGCCCCGGGCTTAGGTACCAGGTCAGATGCCCTGGGATACTGTTGGCCCACACACAAGCGCAGTGGTGTGATCGTGTGGTCAGGACCTTTTTGGATCCAAGTGACAGAAACCAACTCAAGCCAGTTCAGGCAAGAAGGAGGATTTCTCAGCCTCTGTAACTCAACAGTGGCAGAGGAAGGCTGTGGCTGGGCCTGTGCCTCAGGGGCAGGGAGGGACACTGTCTTTGAGTTTGGTTTCATTCATTCTCTTGGGCTGGCTCCTGGCTGTGGCTGGTACGTGGATGCCAGGTTTTTGCTCTTCTGTCAGTTCTTGCGGCAGCCAAACCCTGTCACCTGGCCTGCCTCTTTAGCCTGTCCCTGAGCCACTGCAGGGGAGGCCATGTTCGGGCCCTGCCCTTGAAAGTGGTGGGCGTTCTCAGGGATCCTGGGTGGTGCAGCCGTGCCCGGAACACTGGCTTTTTACAGCGGGACATGCAGCGGGGCTTTTTGTAAGAACCCGTGTTAAATGTCTCTCCCCACCTAGCTGGGGGCTCCCAGGTGGGCCCGAGTCCTTCTCAGACTGGAAAGCCCGAGGGTAGGGCCTGAGTACTCCCTCCCCTATCGCCGGGCTGGCAGCCCCTGAGGCGATGGCCCTGGGCCACCTCTTCCGTCCTGGAAGCCCCCATGAGCAAGCAGGGCCAAGCCCCCTCCTTCCTTCCTCCAGCCTGACAGCGCGGAGGGCGGGGGGGCTTGGGGACACGACCACCGACCCCGAGACTGGGAGCTCCCAGAGGCGCGGCCCGGGCCTCTCTCCGCCCCCGTGTGGGAGCCTGGACGGCGAGGACAAATCGGATCCGGGCTCCCGCTTCCCGTCGAACCCAAAGCCGCCCCGGGGCAGGGACGCTGACCCTCCCGAGCCGCCGTCCTCAGTCTCACGCC